GAACTTCCTAGCTCACCAGCTGTGGCAATGCCCCACACCTAGGACTGCCCACTGCAGGGTGCACGGGGTCACAGGACCTGAGTCTCCTCCAGGTCCTGCACACAACTACTACCTCGGTAAAGCAGGCTCTGTCTGAGCATCCAGGGCACCCAACCCCAACTCACTTGCCTCCAGGTCAGCAGGATGGACAGGAAAGCAGGGAGGAGGACCAGGGCGGAGGTCGCCCCAGGAAGATGGAACATGCTTCCAAGGCTCTCAGTGTGGCCCCCTTCAGAGTTCCCCCAGCCAGAGGAACAGTCCTATCCCCCAGCCCTCCCTACACAGGGCACTCTCACCCACTACCCCAGGGAACACCAGGGACTCCAGACCCGAGGCCAACCTCGGCCAGGCCAGGCCAGGCCGAGCCAAGAGGAGCTAGCACATCCAGAGCCTGCACTCCCCACCCCTGCTAAACGGGCAAGGGATGTGCACCCAGGAAGCAGGGCACCAGACCCACAGCACTGCCAGTGCAGACAGGGCAGGTCCTTCCCATCACCCAAGCACCTCCCACCTGCCCCTCGCTCTCTGTTTCAGCCCCCAGAACAGCTGCCAGGGCCATAAACCTGCAGGCAGTCATGCTATGGCATTGCCAAGCCTGCCCACGGGAGGGCCTCTGCAGGGCTTTCTTGGAGTAAAGAAGAGGCAGCTATGCCAAGTGAAGACCAGGGAAGTCCGGCTGCTGAGTGCTTGAGGAAAGCCTGGCTATTTTCTCAAGTGGTTGGCGCCAGGAGGACCAGAGGTTGGGGACCCTCACTTAGGACACCACAGGTCTCCAGGGGTTTCCTTGTGATGTTAGGTGGTGGACCCAGGCCCATCCTCTGCAGGAAAGTCTGGTGCCCTCAGGGCTAGGCAGGCCTCACTGTGGGACAGTCCTGGCACTGAGGTACAGCCAGGGGCCTCTCCCTAGACTGGTATTTCCCTTCTTGGCACCCCAAAGGGGAGGAAAGAACTGGCCTGGCTCCTTTGTGGTTGAACGAGGGTTAACCTCAATCGGTGCCCTATATTTCCCCTGGCCTGGATCAAGGGCAGGCGGTGTCCATTTCAAGGAGACAGTAACTAACCAGCCGCCGGAGAGGAGGGGAAGAGGAACACAAACCACCTCCACCTGCTCGGCTCCAGGGCTCCCCACCCCAGCCTTACCCAGCAAGATGGCTGCCGACTTCAGGACTATCAGCAAAGAGGCCTAGGTGAAAAGTCCTTTTTTCAGGGCATTTTGAAGAAGCGACTATTCTCCGGTCTGCAGAATGAAGACCATCCACCCCGTGGGCAATGGAGTGGGACGGAGGCATCCTGGAGCCCCATCACTAGCCTAAGAATCCTAAGACCTTTGAGAAGTTCCTCTCAGATCAGACTTCAGTCCCTCCAGCTGTCAAAGGCTGTCTGCTTTTGCCCTCAAGGAAGAAGGCAGCAAGTAGCCAGAAGAGACGGGGCTGTCTGTGCCTTCGCACCCAGCACTTGCACTGCAATTCCCTGTCCACACTTGCGTCACCAGAATGGAGTCTCCATGAGGACAGGGCTGCTGTCCTGTGGGTTCCTCTTTGTTTCCTCATGGCACTCTGACATCCCTCCCTCTCCCAGGCCTCTCATGGCTGCCAGCCACTTCCTGTATGATGCAAAGATCTCATGGAAGCAGAGGTAGAAAGGAAGTGGGTGCCCTGACCAGCCTCTGATCACCCTGGAGGCTCAGGTCACCCCGACATTTACTGGGAAGGCTATCCAAGCCGGGTGCCCACCCTGGCCTTCACCTGTTCACAGTCCCTCCACCTCCATGCTTCCCTGGGGAATTGGAAGCTCCTCAGACTGAACTTCCTGAGACTCCAAAGTGGTCTCAGAAGGTATATCCCCCAGGGGGACCTCCTGAGCTAACCATTCCCAGCCCCCAACCCCCCAGGTCTCAAGTCCAGCGCAGGTCTGAGGGTTTCTCCTTGCAACCCAGGGCAGGCTGGCCTCGCCCTGGCTCCTTCTGCCCTACCTGCAGGGTGGCTCTTCAATGCCATGAGTGCCTACCTGTGGCCTGGGTGCCAAGGGCAGAATTAGGGACTATTTGTAACCCATGCCTGCCTTTGTTCTCTAGAATGGCCATGAGACTCCACCCTACCCTGTTTTCTCGGTGACCACTGTCCAGTCAAGGCCCGCTGATCCGGATCACCTCGCTGAGCAGCAGGAGCCCACTCTGTGAGATCCTCCAGTCCTTCCTGTGACTGGTCCCCCCTAGTTCCCTTAGCGCCAGAAGCCAGGCCCCAGCACCAGAGAAAGGGAGAGCTCCTTTCAGCACCTGGACAAGGCCCGGGGCCTCCCCAAGAGGGTCCTTCTCTACTCCCCATGCCAGGACCAGGCTGGGGTCTGAGGGATCCAGGGACTCTGCCCAGTCCAAGCGAACAGAGGAAGCACTCTCCAGGAGGGGAGAGGGCAGGCGGTGGGTGCGGCTGGGATGGCTGGGAGAGACGCTCAGCCTCTTCCCAGATCCTTGACCTGTGGCCCTCTCCCACGCGGGCCTTGCCCACCTCCGCACACTCACGCGGGAGGTGTCGCCGCTCGGCCGAGCGCGGCGGACTTTCCCACCACAAGGAACACCGACCAAGCCGGCCGCCCCTCCCCACCGGGGCGGAGGAGGGGCACAGTGTCCCGGACCCCGACCGGGTAGGTCTGGGCACGTGTGGGCCGCCGGTGCCGGCGGGAGGGGCGCGTGCGGGGGCCGCTCCCATCACCCTCTCCCGGTCAACAAGCACAAAAGCCGCGGCTGCAAACAAAGAAGCGCTGCAAACTCGCCCGGGAGGCGGGACAGCCTGCGCCGCGCCCCCTCCTCACGCCGGACGGGCGTGCCCGGCCGAGGGGGTCCCCGTGGCGCCCCGACCGCGCTCTTACCTGGCCGGCGCGGACCTCCTTCTCCAGCTCGCGGTGGCGGTTGTGCCACACGAGGTAGTGCAGCGGGTACTTGCCCTCGGGCCCCTTCCTGGCGGAGGCGTT